ATAAAAATTTCATATGGTCTGTCTCTTATACACATCTCGACATCATGAATTTCAGCCAGCAAATGCATCCTCAACTAAATGGGTGAGTTTCTTATCGTTAATATTTTTCATATTTTTCTAAAAAACAAATCCTTTACGTCCCTTATTTATTATTAAATCAGCTTTGCGAATCATTCGTTGAATTCTGTTCGTACACGGAATTATTTAAATTAAAATATCATTTACGAACTTTGTTAATCTTCACTGTACACCTTGCATAAAAATTTCATATGGTCTGTCTCTTATACACATCTCGACATCATGAATTTCAGCCAGCAAATGCATCCTCAACTAAATGGGTGAGTTTCTTATCGTTAATATTTTTCATATTTTTCTAAAAAACAAATCCTTTACGTCCCTTATTTATTATTAAATCAGCTTTGCGAATCATTCGTTGAATTCTGTTCGTACACGGAATTATTTAAATTAAAATATCATTTACGAACTTTGTTAATCTTCACTGTACACCTTGCATAAAAATTTCATATGGTCTGTCTCTTATACACATCTCGACATCATGAATTTCAGCCAGCAAATGCATCCTCAACTAAATGGGTGAGTTTCTTATCGTTAATATTTTTCATATTTTTCTAAAAAACAAATCCTTTACGTCCCTTATTTATTATTAAATCAGCTTTGCGAATCATTCGTTGAATTCTGTTCGTACACGGAATTATTTAAATTAAAATATCATTTACGAACTTTGTTAATCTTCACTGTACACCTTGCATAAAAATTTCATATGGTCTGTCTCTTATACACATCTCGACATCATGAATTTCAGCCAGCAAATGCATCCTCAACTAAATGGGTGAGTTTCTTATCGTTAATATTTTTCATATTTTTCTAAAAAACAAATCCTTTACGTCCCTTATTTATTATTAAATCAGCTTTGCGAATCATTCGTTGAATTCTGTTCGTACACGGAATTATTTAAATTAAAATATCATTTACGAACTTTGTTAATCTTCACTGTACACCTTGCATAAAAATTTCATATGGTCTGTCTCTTATACACATCTAGATGTGTATAAGAGACAGCTGTACACCTTGCATAAAAATTTCATATGGTCTGTCTCTTATACACATCTAGATGTGTATAAGAGACAGGACCTCAGCTACCCCTCATTTTCGGCTGTTAAAATAATTGTGGGACACCCTGTATAGTTTATGGTTTACAACCTTCGTCTCCGTAACATTTATTTGCATTTAATGTCCCATTTAATTAGTTTATTTATTACTCCGTTATATTTAATTAAGCATATTAGTTGGTTATTTTAGTCTAAAATAGCTGTGCCGTTAACAATCGCAATCTCTTCAACAATGTCTCCTGAAACTCGAAGTTCTTGATTTTTTGGTAAACTTTGGAACATTCTGAAGAACTCAAAACATTCTTTGGGTGACCGAAATCACCAATCATCGTACGATGTTTTGGTGGTATTTTTGGAAAAGTGTTAATATCACATGAAGCTGAAGTGTAGGGAGAAAAAAAGCGGCACTGATCTTCTGTTTACATAATAAAGAGTAAATTTATACAATCAATTACAATATCATATAAATAGTAACGACTATGTGCGAATTACATTATTCTTACGCGTATAGTATAAAACATTACCTACGCTACACTACACTTACATGATATTTATCGGCAATATGTACAGTGTTCTGGAGCTAAACAGAATCTTCTCCGTACTTATCGTTAATGAAGAAAATGTCAGCTACCGCGATTATATAAAACTCAAGTCCAACAATGTGCGGAAGTTTCACGACCCGTATTCTTCAAGACATTTTTTTACCGTCACTGTTTCTAACAGATTATAAAATCTACCACGACGTAATGGATGTAACAAAATATGTCAGTATGCTAAAATAGAAATTAAAAAATAATTAATAATAAAATTAAAAAATGTTCAAAATATCGAAACGTTCGAGAAAATGTTCAAATGTTGTACAAAGATTTTAAAGGTAATTCGAAGAAGGTATAATTGATTAGTCAAAATTAAACAATTTCATGATAATTGTTTTAATGATAATATTATTATGAAACTAAAATTCTTTCGTACTGTAATGTATTTTTGTTTATTTTGTCTATATCCATACATCGTGCTAGAGATTGGTGTTAGTTTCGTCAGCAAACCGCTGCATGGAAATTGTGTGACATATGAGCTCTTAAAGATTAGTATAAATTAAAAGTTGAAGTACGAAGTGCTGCCAGAGCCTCCGTGATTTCGCGCAAGAACGCACTTCAAGTGATTCTCTTTCATTCACGCCGGTACATTTAGAAGATTTTAGTTTTTAGTGGTCCTTTCCGTGCAAAGGCACAATGTTTTAGATCGATTCTGTACGTACATATTAAAAAGGCAAGAACGTAAGTAGTTAATCCTTGTAAAGAGTTAACAAATTTTCTTTCGCTTTCCTTGCAACCTTTCAATATACATAGATATACACTTTCTCTCAATGAAATGTAGATACTATTTTAAATTCCTCAACAATTTATTTTAAAGCTAATAGAGGTAAAAATTGCAAGGAATATAGTTCTCTGTTATATCCACAAGGACTTCTTAAATATAATTGACGTTTACGTTTTATAAAAAAATTATTTCAATTCTGTGTGTGTGTAAGAAATTAAAATGTTACATATATATTCCCGACGAGATTTAATTATCTCGCTACTATTGATTGATAACACTACTTGTGCAGAAATAATTTTAGGTATTTCGTTTCTTTATTTACAAAATGATACGTTCCTCTAAAATATCTGGAAACTTTGTATCTTAATTTGTTTAGTTCATAGTTTTCATTTTGTCAAAGTCTCTTCTTAAATTTCTGTTATCGAAATTTCCAATCACAGTTTTACGCGCAATTTTTAAAATGTAAACTATCATATCGAAGATAAAGAAAATTTAATAACTAGAAATTTATGGTCTATTTGATTCTGGCACAAATTAATTATATTGTCTTCCTATCCTAATTTATTAGAAATTCAAACCTCGTGAAAGAAAACGGAAAAATAAAAAGAAATATTGTCATACTACAATTATTGATATTATCATTAGTAAATGATGTACAATGTAGGAAAAATTGTAGGAAAAAATGTGTTTTCAAAAGATTATATTTACAACCAAAATAAGAAACTGTGTAGGCATTTTGTAATTGATGTTGAAAATACTAAGTAATGATATTTCTTCCTCAACCTTTGAAATGTTGTGATATGTTTGCTTAACAGACTGCTCACTGAGCTGGAATATATACAAATATATTTTTGCATACTATAGATAGAATCTAACTATTTTCTCGAAAACGAAGCCTTGCATGAAAAAATAGTATATCATATATACTTCTTATTTTTTTCACGTAGAATCATCCCCTGACCGGTTGTACTACAATTTTTCATCCACCCTGCATGTAAAGTAATATATTTCTCAAAAACAA